CTCCCCCTGCACCCTATAGCAACCTGGCATCTGTTCTCATCACGATGCCATGATGAGACCAGCACTGTTCACCTCACTGCCAGACCATAGCCACTTCTCCGTTGGGGCTCTGCAACATCTCTGTGCACTCTGACACTATCTGTTGTCCCCGCTTTCGTGAAAATCTCTCCTTTGTGGGTGTGGTTCTCCATCCGTCCCTTTTACCACTCCTTCTTAGTCTCATCTATGGGTACCTGTTCATCAGCCTGTCCCTGACATGTTCCTCTTCTCCAGGTCTTCTCTGCATTCTTATCCCAGTCTTCACCCCCTCCCAAGGTGACCTCACTCCTTCCCACCACTAGGATTAACACGGTTCAATGGGGACTCCTCAGTATGCATCCTGACCTGTCTGCTGGCTATAGATCTGAGTTTCTCATCATGTGTTGAGCACCTATAGACCATTATCTGCCGTTCTTCCTCTTCCTGTCATCTGGACAAACTGGCTGGACTTCCCATCCTCTTGATCTCTGATCACAGCCCCATTAATGTTCAGCATCAAGCCAGAAACAGAAGAATTGTGCCAGACCTTTCCCCTTCCTTCGCTGCCCAATTCCAATTTGTTGCCAAAATCCTCCTGATTGTATACCAGAAATATCTCCCAAATTGGAATCTCTTCATGCTTACTGACACAGGAATAACAATTGCAAATACCTATATAGTATATATATATATATATATATATATTTTAGACATTGTCAAAGAGGTACACTCACATACACACACTCACAACAGTCCTGTGAGATAGGTACCAGTATTCTCCCCAGAGAAATACAGAAGTTGAAGAACTTCTACAAGGTCACAATTCCAAGCAGTGCAAAGCCCAGGACTCAAATGCAAGCCATCTAGCTCTATGTCTGTGCTTAATCCCTCTCCTTGGCATTGCCCACTTCCTCCTACCTCAACAGCATCCCATTGGCCTCTCTCACATCAGTCCATTCATCTTTCCTCCCTCCTTACCCATCAGTCAGTTCAGTTCAGTTCAGTCGCTCAGTCGTGTCCGACTCTTTGCGACCCCATGAATCGCAGCACGCCAGGCCTCCCTGTCCATCACCAACTCCCAGAGCTTACTCAGACTCATGTCCATCAAGTCGGTGATGCCATCCAACCATCTCATCCTCTGTCATCCCCTTCTCCTCCTGCCCCCAATCTCTCCCAGCATCAGGGTCTTTTCCAATGAGTCAACTCTTCGCATGAGGTGGCCAAAGTACTGGAGTTTCAGCTTCAGCATCAGTCCTTCCACTGAACACCCAGGACCAATCTCCTTTAGGATGGACTGGTTGGATCTCCTTGCAGTTCAAGGGACTCTCAAGAGTCTTCTCCAACACCACAGTTCAAGAGCATCAATTCCTTGGCGCTCAGCTTTCTTCACAGTCCAACTCTCACATCCATACATGACTACTGGAAAAACCTTAGCCTTGACTAGATGGACTTTACTTTGTTGGCAAAGTAATGTCTCTGCTTTGTAATATGCTGTCTAGGTTGGTCATAACTTTCATTCCAAGGAGTAAGCATCTTTTAATTTCATGGCTGCAATCACCATCTGCAGTGATTTTTGGAGCCCCCCAAAATAAAGTCTGACACTGCTTCCACTGTTTCCCCATCTATTTCCCATGAAGTGATGGGACCAGATGCCATGATCTTAGTTTTCTGAATGTTGAGCTTTAAGCCAACTTTTTCACTCTCCTCTTTCACTTTCATTGAGGCTTTTTAGTTCCTCTTCACTTTCTGCCATAAGGGTGGTGTCATCTGCATATCTGAGGTTATTGATATTTCTTCCATACCCTTCTACTACTCTTCCATTAAGTGAAACTAGTTTTGTTTGAAAAAGCCCAGTGGCTCCCTATTGTCCACAGGATAGATCCAGACTTCTTTGCTGGACATTCAAAGTTCTATGCAATCTGTTCAGCCTCATCTTCCACCATCACATCCCATGTTGACCTTCACATAGTTTCCTTTTACGTTGTGAGACGTTACTTTCACAGCAACAAGAATATTCTTGTTAATCCTCTCTACCAGTCAAATCCCTTACTCTTCCCTTGTCACCCGCTTTGGACACCATCTCTATGGTGACATCCTTGTGCAATGTCTCAGAGCTCAGAGCTCTTCTGTCTTAACAGAATTCACTACAGAGTCCATTAGCAATTTATCATCTTACAAATGACACCCTCTATCTAGCCCTTAGGAATGATTAGTATTCAAAGAATGAATGGTTAGCCCCAGATCCAGCCTGCTGGGTCCTTCTGTCTCTGCTCCTTAAATTTCAAAAAGATTCTTTCCTCTGGATCACATGAGATCATAAAGACTAGAAAGATTTCATGTGACATTTTCTCCTCACTCTCTACAGCTCGGGGTAAAGAAATGGACACTCTCTTCCCTGTTTCTCTTCAAAGAAAAACATGAAAGGAATGTGGAAGCATAGCCAAACAGAAGATGGCATGAGAAAATTGATGGGACCGTAACATACAGACTGCAGGGGCTTTGGTGACCATGTCATGCAAACGTCTTTCTTTTACTCACGAGGACACTGAGGCCAAGAAAGGAGAAGACGATGGTGTACGGTGACAACAGCACTGGCCCTCAGGACCTTGGACTCCCTGTCCAGGGATCTGGCCTTGTCCTGTTGCCTCCCGGCTCTGAGTTAATCTTTCCAAGGGACTGAGGGGTGGCCCTGCTTCTGGGTCAGCTCGCTATTATATCCCAAACAGGCTCCGGCTGCTTTCCTGGGATCAGGAAGTTAACAGGCTCGGCACGAAACTTCCTGATGAGCAAACATCCCTTGTTCATGCAACCTCAAGATGGCAGGCAGTGTACCCAGAGCCTGGCTGCAATTCCCCGTGGCACCAACTGGCTTGGGGTCTTCCAACTGGAGTTTCACCAAAGGCGGCAGCTTAGCTTTTGCTTTCCCGCGTCTGCCAGCCCTTCTTGGTATCAGACACCAAGACGACTCCTACACAACACTCTTTCTTCCCCTCCCTGCTCCCTCCACCTCCCACTTCCTCCAGGTTAGTCATGGTGAGGTCACACTCAGCCGCTGGCTCCCAGGCCTCTCCCTAAGGACGGTGTGCATTTTCAGGGAGAGGGGACTCGAAGGACTGCGGAGGAGGGTGCTGCAAGGCATCATGGGAAAAATGAGCTTGGGAGTCAAAGAGATGTGGGTTCGAGCCCTGGCTCTGCCAGTTAACCACTGTGCCTGACCTTCGGCAAATTACTTAATCTCTCAAACCCTTCCCCAAATCAGGTGGGGCTGCCTGGGAAGCGATTTTCTTACCTGTGTAAGGTGAGAATAGTGAGGATCAAATGAGATAAAGTGCCAGAAGCACCTTGCCCACTGCCTGAGGATCTGCAAATGTTGGCTTCCCTTGTCATGAGGCTCTAGGGTATCACTGTCAATTTAGGGACCTGAGAAATTCTAGTGCCCACCTGCAGCTCCACAGGTGAGCTGGTGTGAATGTGAGGGTGTGGGTGCTGGTATCTGATGGCATCTGAAAGGCAGAATGAGAGGGAGCCAGGTGGATTCTTAGGGAGGGCGTGGATGTGTGTGTTTGTGCACAGAGGCGAGCGCGAGTCTAAGTATGTAAAGGAGCGTGAACAGCAGAGCCTCTCTTACTCCAAAATTCCCACCCCTTTAAAGAAAAGGTCTCTTGTGGGACATCTCTGGTGGTCCAGTGATTAAGAATCCATGTTGCAATGCAGGGGATGTGGGTTCGATCCCTGGTTGGGGAACTAAGATCCCACATGGAGCAACTAACCCTCATGCTACAACTACTGAGCCCATATGCTCTGGAGCCTGCGTAACACAAATAGAGAAGCCTGTGCACTGAAAGAAAAAAAAAAAGGAAAAAATCTCTTATGTCTGTGCTTCTCAGTAATGAGAAATGCAAAAACCTTTCTCAGGGGAGGGTGGGATTGCCCTCCTCTCTGCCCTGATGAGGCTCATCCAAAAGAAGCAAACTCCAGTGAGGTCTGCCCCTGACAGAAACCAGGAAACTTTCTCCCAACTGGTGAGGAAACCTTATCCCTAAAGAAGTTCAAAGGATCAGGGGGCCTCTCAGTAGGCTGCTGGGCCCAGAGGGGCTGCCCTCAGCCTTGTCCTAAGCGCAAGGTTTTCCCCAGCTTCAAAAAAGATCACACAGGCAGCCAAACCCACTGGGCCTGTGGAGCGGGCCACCTCCAGGCTGGGCTGGTGCCACCATGTCTTGGTATGGATGGGCTACTCCCTGCGCATCTCATCCAAGGGACCGTGAGAGGTGTACCCTCGGCCAGGATGCTCAGAAAGAACAGGAAACAGGCCACACCCCAACCCACAGAGGGCTCCTTCAGGGTTAGAGAATCCTCAGGCATATCCTCCATCCTCCTGCCCTGGAAGCACACCTGGGCAAAGTATCCCTTAGATGAGAAACTGTCTCATCTTTTTTTTATTTTAATAAATATTTATTTGACTAAGCCAGGGCTTAGCTGGGGCACACAGGATCTTAGTTGAAGATCTTTAGTTGCAGCATGTGAGATCTTGTTCCCTGACCAGGGATGGAACCTGGGATTCCTGCATTGGGTACTCAGAGTCCTAGGCACTGGATCTTGGGCACCAGGGAAGTCCTTGTCTTATTTTCAAAGACGTTGACAGAGATGGTTATTCTACAGCCTCCTTCCCTTGGTAGCTCTTCCAGTGTTTGATAAAGCTCATTGGTTGCAAGTCCTTCCTCGTAGATTACCTAGATGTGTCTTTAACTGAAGCCTACCCTTCTGCCTGCTTCCCAGGTGGCTTAGTGGTAAAGAATTCGCCTGCCAACTCAGGAGATGGGGATTGCAAAAGCCCTTGAAATACCCCTACCAATCCTGAGAGCGATGAGTCTATGAATAAACACCCTTGAACTTCCCTTAATCTTCTTTGTGTCCCCACACTTGACATAGTATGAATGACTCCTAAAATTTATAGAATAAATTTTTCTTCTGAATGTCCTTACCTGCCTGTTGAAATCTAAGCCATTTCGATCATTTCCTGAAAAAGATAAAAAAAAAAAGAAAGAAAGAAAATATTAATAGCTAGCAGGATTGGAAGAGACTGAAAGTTAAAGGGAAATAGGATATCAGGATGAGCTTCTCTTTATTTTGAAAATGTACACTTGCCTCCCCTGTGGCCAGACTCTTTCTGTTTATTCTATTTCCTGGGACAGTCTTTGAAAAATTTTCTTCAAGAAGGTGAGTAACTCCCAAGGGGAGACTGATTTGTCCAAGGTCATCTCGAATCTAACTGGGATTAGAATGTGCCATATCAGAGTGCTTCTGCCAGATGTCCTCAGACAGAAGTTCTGACACAGGCTTTCTGAAAAAGCAAGGGATGACCAGCTGTGGATCCTAAAGGAACTGCCCGAAGGTAAGAAGTCCCTACACTATCTCAGCCCTCCAGGGTTGATGGCATCTAAATCATGTCAGGTAGATGACTGTCACCCCTGTTTCTACCACCTGCTCCCCCAACTTTAATTCTTTGTTTTATTCATCTTTTTCCCTTTATAGTAAATGTTGGGTTGAAAAATTAAATGTGTGCTTAATAGAAAAAGCTTGTTGATATAGAAAAAGCAGAAAAAATCAATTTGCAAAGAGCTACAATGAATATTTTTGTATGTTTCATGATCTTTTTTATGCTTGCTTTTCCTAATTGATATGTAACACTCTGTACAGATTTTTACTCTGCTTTTTCTAGTGAGTATCATAAATCTTTCTCTGACACCATTAAGGAACATCATAAATCTTTCTCCTATGCTTGCAAAGATCATTTTTAATGACTACATAATATTCCATTTATGGACATAACAAAATTTGCTTAAACATATACCTATTGGGGGGGGGGATTGGGATGGGGAATACATGTAAATCCATGGCTGATTCATGTCAATGTATGACAAAAACCACTACAATATTGTAAAGTAATTAGCCTCCAACTAATAAAAATAAATGGAAAAAAAAAAAACCCAAATACCTATTATTGGAGAAATGCTTACATTCTTTGCTAAAATTAAGTTTCCTATTTATATACCTCCTCAGGGCAGGAGCTGCCAAACAATCTTCCTTTGTGCCCCATGGATAACTGGCTCTATAATGTCAAGAAAATGATATTAAATGCCACACACCCAGAGCCTAGCACTGGGCTTAGTACATAACAGGAGTTCAAATCATATTGGTTGGGATTTCCCTGGTCATCCAGTGGTTAAGAATCTGCCTTACCAAGCAGGCAATGTGGGTTCAACCACTGGTCGGGGATCCCACATGCATGGGATAACTAAGCCTGAGGCACAATAAAGATCCTGCATACAGCCAATAATAAATAAATAAAATTAAAAAATTTTTTAAATATTATATTGGTTGAATGAATGAATAAATGAACATGTGAATGAATTCAGACCTTTCAATCAGAAAATTCTGCTTTCTCTCTATGTAAAGTGAATTGAGCACAATTGTGAACTCTTTCCTCAACAACAGATTTGCCACAAATGCAAAGGGTTCACATCTGGCTTTGGCTTGATCAGCCCTTAATAAAATGGCAGAATGCAACTTAAATAATAAAAGAAATTCTCCAGAAAGTAAGAATGATAATCATTTAGCATTGGGATGAGAAAACTTACTAGAGGAAAAAAGAAAACCTAAATACAATGACATTATGTAATAATGTATATTCAGGTTTATCACATTCTGGTAATCCTCCACATATTTGAAACTTTGTCATTATTATTATATTTGTCATGGTGATCTGTGATCAACAATCCAACAATCTTTGATGTTACTATTATACTATGACTCGCTGAAGGTTCAGATGATGGTTATCACTTTGTACCAACAAAGTTATTTTTAATTTAAAAAAAAATTCTGCTTTCCATTGGTTCCTCAATAGCTTTGGAATGAAGTCCAAATTTCTTAGTATAACAAATAATTCCCCATATGATCTGGTTTCTGCCTACCGTCTCTTCTCTGTCTTCTGCCTCTCATGATCTCATCTTCCTCCTTCCCAGGTACCCTGTGCTCCAGTCACATGGAAAGATCCACACGTCCAAACACGCCACACCTCTCCCATTTCCATCTCTCTATGCACTGTTCCCTTTTACAAAGTTGGTCCCCCTCCCCTCTCTACCAGCCCTATGGCACATGTCATGGAACTCCTTTTCTTGTCTGCATGCTTCTCTCTCCCTCTGGTCTATGAATTCCAGAATGATGACACCACTTTTGTCCTCAAAGACCTCTGTAGTTCCTAACACTGGTCAGAGGCTCAGGAAGCACCAGATAGATGAATGAATGGGGTCCAGGAGAATCCTTTGGAGCTTTAACTGAAGCCCCCTTCCCTCTGCTCGCTCTAAATGATGGATAAGCTTGGCCCTTGCCTGTATGATTCGTTGTGAAGCATCTTCAAGAGCAGCTGGGCTGGCAAGATGACAGCAGACGTTAAGGGGTATGGGATTCTGAGAAAGAGGAAATAGGTGAGACAGGAAGACATCTCTGAATAGCAGTCTGATTTTGAGATTAAATAAGCTAATCTGAGAGGGGGGCTAAAATGGGAAGGGCCCAAGGACTGAAAATAGTGTGTGTGCAGAGGCTAGATTTAAAGATAAAATTGCTTTTGTATTTAAAAAAAAAATTCTTTCATGACATTGTAAATGTAGCCTTGTAAGGGGGTAATTTTAAAATATGACCAAAGAACGAATTCATTCATTCCACAAAATACACTCTATATACCAAGCACTGTTCTAGGCACTTGAAATATCATGCTGGAAAACCAGATGAAGTCCCTGGCCACACAGAGTGTCTTCTCTAGTTGAAAAGACATAAAAGGAATAAGAAAACAAACACATAATTTCATTTAGAGAGAATTACTATGGAAAGCAATAGTAATGGTCAGGAGAAGAGTGTGCCAGAGGCTGTTCATAATCAGGGTGGTCTGGGAAGATCATTCTAGACAGAGGGATTGAGGCCTGTGTGAGGCAAGAACAGGCTTGCCTGTTAAGGAACAATGATGAGACTAGTAGGGCTGGAGGGAAGGGGATGGGTGTGGCCCAGGGCAAGATGACGTGGCTCTGGAAGGCAGGTCATGCCGAAGACTTTGGCTTTCATGCCAAGGACGCTGGGAAGTGATCAGAGGGTTTTGAGCAGAGGAGTGACATGAATTGACTTTAGTGCTTAAACCCGCAGTGATCAGGGACTTCCCTGGTGGTCCAGTGGTTAAGACTCCATGCTCCAAATGCAGTGGGCACAGGTTCGATCCCTGGTTGGGGAAGATCCTGTATGTCATGTGGCATGACCAAAAATAAATAAACCTGTGGTAATCAGCCGTAGGGATAAGCAAGGGGGAAGGGAGACCATGCAGTGGGTCAGGGGAGAAAGGGCCGTGCAGAGGACAGGAGGGCAGCCAGGCAGGTGGTTAGAAGGACTTGGATTTTGAATTGATACCTGACACGACTAGATATTTTAAAAATGTATTTATTTTTGGCTGTGCTGGGATGCTGCTGTGCACAGGCTCTCTCTAGCTGTGGCGAGCGGGGGCTATTCTAGCAGCGATATGCGGGCTTTTCACTACTGTGGCTTCTCTCGTGGCGCACAGGCTCTAGTTGTGGCACGTGGGCTCAGTAGTTGTGGCCCATGGGCTTAGTTGTTCTGGGGCAGATTCTAAACCATTGGGTCACCAGGAAAGTCCTACCACATATTTTAGAGTATTTTGTGTGTCTGTTTTCCTCATGAAATTGTGAGCTCCTAGAGGCCAGGGTTATTTCTTCTTATTCATTTTTGTACTCTGAGAGCCTTTAACAGCATTTAACACATAGTAGGAGCTGAATGCAGAGAAGGCAATGGCAACCCACTCCAGTACTCTTGCCTGGAAAATCCCATGGGCGGAGGAGCCTGGTGGGCTGCCGTCTATGGGGTCGCACAGAGTCTGACACGACTGAAGCGACTTAGCAGCAGCAGCAGCAGCAGCACAAGCTGAATGAATGCATGTTTAACTGATCCAAACAACTAAGAAACTGCTACTGAAATGGATTTTCTATCCAAATCTAAGAAATCACAGGTCCCTCGATCTGCAGAAATCTGAACACATTCTATTATACAAGCTCTGGCTTTGGGAGATGGCAGAAATCTGAACACATTCTATTATACAAGCTCTGGCTTTGGGAGATGGCAGTCACTTGTAGGGAAAAACAAAGCAGGACAGACACCCAGAAGGACCAGAGCATTATTTTTAGAGTTGGAAGGATACTGAAGTCCAGCCTCAGAGGGAAGCACCTTGTGGTGGTCACACAGCCTCAGAGACTCTGATTTTCGGACTAAAGCTTAGATCCCTCAACTCCTACACTCACACAGTTTTCCCAATAAACTCACTGTGCCCAGAGTCCAACACAGAGGAAACCAAGTATTAGGCTATAATCAATAGTTTAGGCAAATAAGCAGGACAGATGCTGATGAAATTTGGAGGTGATTTAAAGCAGGAAGCAAAATCAATTCAGAAAGCTGGATGATGTAATCAGAATTAGAAAATATTTTGGTTGATTCTAACAGGAGGCAAAAACCAAACCAGATAATATGTAACAGGAATAAATCTAAGCCTTATATTTAGATTTAAAAAAAGTCAACTGTATACATAAAAGATAGAGGAGGCTGAATTAAGAAATGATTAAGGTAGTGAGTATTATGTTTAAATTTAATATTATATGTTTTTCTGCCTTTAAGCCTATCTACATATGATCCAGTAATCTAACTCTGGGTATATATCCACAGGAAATGAAAACAGGATATCAAAGAGATAGCTTCACTCCCCTGTTCACTGCAGGATTATTCACTATAGTCAAGTTAAGGAAACAATTTCAGTTATAGCCCATCAGTGGATGAATGGGTAAAGAAAGTGCCATACACACACACACACACACACACACACACACACACACACATATATGTATGGTATGGTGGAATATTATTCAGCCCCAAGAAAGAAGCAAATGCTGCCATTTGAAGCTACGTGAACTG